ACACATAAGTTTTCTTTTCTTTTTTTTTTTTTTTTTGTTGAGACAATCTTGCTCTGTTGGTGGAGCTAGAGTGCTGTACGCGCAGCTTAGCTCACAGCAACCTCAAACTCCTGGGCTCAAGAGATCCTCTGCTCCGCTCAAGTAGCTGGGACTACAGGGTTACACTACCACGCCCAGATAATTTTTCTATTTTTTTGCCCGCCAATTTCTTTCTATTTTATAGAGATAGGTCTCACTCTTGCTCAGACTGGTCTCAAATTCCTGCTTGAAGCAATCTTCCACCTCAGCCTCCCAGAGTGCTAGGATTAGAGGTGTGAGCCACCTTGCCCAGCAAGATAGTTTTCTTAAAGCCACAGTGGACACTCCCTGCCTAACCAAATTGTTCCTCCTGGGAATCCCTTGTCACCAGATGGTGCCCCAGCAAGTTGGGAGACAAATGTGGAGCAGTGTACCTCACTAAAGCCCAGTTTCTCGGCCTCACCTGGAAAAAGTCTTTTGCTACCTCTTTGCCCATGGCATTGTGGAGCTTTGAAATACTATGCAGAACATGTGTTTTCTCTCCTAGCCTACATACACTTCACAACTGCTCTTCCGTTCCACCAGGTATGAGGATGACTTGGGTATGGGAGAGGAGAGGCCTTCCACAGCTGTTCAAACCCAAGTCCTGTCTACACAATGACTGGGTGCAGAGGAGACCCGCTCTGCCTGCCAGCAGCCCCTCCGTGGCTGGCCCAGACCTCCCCACAGCTACTGGCCTTTTACCAGGCCGTCTTCCTCCTCTTGTGCCTGCCCATGCACCCCTACTCCCTTCCTCCAGAGGTTGATTGGGACCATTTTAGCAACACTAGCAGTTGCTCCCAGCACAGCTGGAATAGGGAGGGGTTCTGCAGTTTTGCCTGGACATTTGAGACCCCCAAGGTAAAGTGGCTGACCCACACTCCCTCCAGAGCGAGAGGAGCACCCTGGATCTGGGTGTGTGAGCGACCCTACGGTGCTCATAGGCCTCCTCGATGGGCAGCCACACTTCCCTCATGCTGACTCAGGTTGCCGTGTAACAGGCTGATCTCTCTGGGGACCCTGTGCAGAGGGATGGCAAAGTTGTGTGTGTCTGAGTCTGCGCCCCAGCCACAATGGGATTGGCTGGCCTTGGGCCCAGGACTCTGCACAGGACCAGTGAGCACCACTGGCATGTCCCGACATCTCTCTCCTCACTTCTGCTTTCTCTCTCTGGCAGGTTTGAACGGTACAGGTCGGCCGGTCAGTTCAAAATGCCAGTAATGGGGTAAGTATCTTTAGAATTGTCTCATCTCTGAGGCTGGGCCCTCCATGTTTTAGAGGCTAGGGAGACAGCTTTGGGTTGGCCTCACCTCTGGTTTTTCTCACTGGGGTTAAAATATTGGGTAACTGAAGAGAAGCTCTGGTGGATGGGGTGAGGGGAAGAGCTAGCAGGCACCCCTGAGATGGAAGGTAACAAGGAAGCTCCCAGGACAGTCACTGTCCTGGTGCTCAGTGCTGCCTCCTTCAATGGGGACAGGGAGGAGGGCTCACTGACAGCAGGGCCACCACGGACCCTGAAGGCAGGTGAGAGAAGGCATTGCTTCCGGCCTGGTGCAGGATGTTTTTCTGGGAAATTCCTGCACAGTTGCTGCTGGCCTTCAGCGTGGAGCCCGACTCGAGGGCTCTGGGGCTCACTTCCAGTCTCATGTTCTGACAGGTACTGAATGAAGTGACTGAAGACAACTTAATAGACCTAGGGCCGGGGTCTCCAGCTGTGGTGAGCCGATGGTGGGGAACACAGCCCCATCTTCCTCTCCTCCCAGCTGCAGGCTTGGGTGAGTATCTTGTAGCGGCTAAAGGGCCTCCACCACTGGCTTCCTTTCTAGGCCACTTCTCTTCTTCCTGGAAGGCCCGAAAGAGCCTTTTGGGGAATCCATGTGAAAGTGTATCCTGGGTCGTGGCCAATTGTACCACCTTCAGTTCATAATTTCTTTCCCTAATTTGATGTTTAACCGTGTGTTGAAAAGTAGGGATGGAGAAGGTTCCAAGGAATTGAAAGTAGTTTGCTTTTTAAAGAAAAGTAGTCTGTTGTGTTTATCTGGAACATTCCTGTGGTTGAAGTGATTTCCTTTCAATATTAACTGGGTCAAGAATGGCAAAAAGTTTTCAGCTCATTGGCTGTTTGGAACACAGGTTTGAGGAAGATGCCACGCTACATCAGGGTTTAGAAAGTTCGCATTGATTGGCAATGTCTGCAGTGGGCTGGAAATAGGAAGGTGGCATTGGCACCTTTTCTTCTTGAACTATACCATCACCTAAAGTGTTCCATTGTCGGGAACTTAAAGAAATTCACCACTTTTCTACAGTGCATTCAGTTTTAAAATGTATATATGACCTAGATGTTCAGTTATACTGGATGATACCAATTTATAATAAAATTATAGTAGTAAAATAATTAACAAGCATGGTTCTCAAAATTCTTTCCTCTGCTTGGTTTTTTTTTTTTTTTTTGAACAGAGTCTCACTTTGTTGCCAGGCCTAGAGTGAGTGCCGTGGCGTCCAGCCTAGTCACACAGCAACCTCAATCTCCCGGGCTGAGGACCTTCGCCTCAGCTCCGAGTAGACCGGGCTACAGGCAGCCCCACATGCCGCTAAGTTTTTTTAATATACTAATCAGAGTTGCAATTAATTCTTCTATTTATAGTTAGCCAGACGGGGTTTCGCTCTTGCCTCAGCGCTGGTTTGAACTCTTGACCTCGAGCAATCCGCCGCCGGCCTCCCAAGAGCTAGATTACAGGCGTGCAGCCACAGCGCCCGGCTGCCTCT